ATTGTAACCCAGACAAAAGGTTTATGCATTTCTGTAACTCCTGGTTTTCTATAACCAAAAAGAGGGATATTATTTCCCAATTCACCCAAATTTTATTCTGTGATTTACTTAGAAAAAACATCTACACTCAAATTGTTATATGTGAATCTACAACTCGGTCAGGCCACTGGCTGGAACGCAGGTAGAATCTGATGGATTTATCAGAGAGTGATTCAGAAAACCAAAAGAGGGGATCGCTTAGTTTAGCCTCCTGTACAGCAGAGTTATTTTACACTGGATTAACCTGTCTTCAGTCTCACACCTATGTCACCTCCCTTGCTCTATAAAAAATTAGGACTTTTCTATACTGACCCATCTGGCAAATTCTTCAGTATTTTGCAAAGAATAAGCATAACCTCATGTCTCAAAATGTGCTGCTTTAAAAAAGAGGTTGGAAAAGATACAAAGTGAAATTTAAAAGTGCATAATTACTGGCAATTATTATGGAAATATACAAAGAAATACAGGTATTATTCTCTTTTCCATTTGAAAATAAAACTAAATTAAGTTGCTTAAAGATTTTTTAGATGAACGAATCATAAAATAGATTATGCAGTTTATATCACAAGTAAAATACTGGATTAAAGTGTGTTAAACATGTAGTAGATAAATTCTGGACCTGAAACAAAAAGGCAGTTATAGAACAAAAATTTTTTCCACTAATAAAAATAATACTTTAAGATTAAAACTGTAAAGTTCTAAACAGAATCTTGTCAACACTGCCTTCTAATATTAATAACGTTCAAGGCCATGTTTACTGAAAAGAAATCTGGCAAGCCAAACTTGCACAATTAAAATAAACACAGGGTCACGTGATTTGGTTTCCCAAAGCCTGGAATTTTGACCTTAACTGAAGTTTTCCCAATTTTAATGCTATAAATAACTACTTTAGCTAAACAAAATATTAAACTATTAATTTTCACAGAACGCAGTTGTGCCGTTTCTAGTGCATGTCCCACGCAAGTGTTTAGTATAAGCTTATTGATTTGACAACTATTTTTCAAGGCTAAGCCCCACGTAATGATGATATAAGTGTGGTCAAAACCAACATGATACCTCTCCTTAAAGGGCTAAGACAAGCAGAGAAAACAGACAATTAACAAATAATTGCAAGAAGTCATCATCTGGATGTACATGATAGAGTCAGGAATGCCTTCTGGAAGATCACAGGCAATGTCTTTAAAACAAAAATCTTCAAGGCTATGGTAACAGAACTGCATGTCTGTAGGTTAACTGAATGCCATCGGTTAAATTAGTCTCATAACACACACAGGTTAGTCTATATGCTAGGCTATGTGCAATATATATGCTGCTTACTTAAAAGAGGCTTTATAAATCAAGGGTTTTTAGTTATAGTTTTAAACATCAAAAGAAATTTCTACCACTTCAGGAAAATCAAATAAGCTTAATAAATGAAGGGGCAACACTGGTTTAAAATATTTCTGAAAAATGGCAGATCGACTTCATGAGTTTCTTTCAACCTCTTCCTCCCAAAACCACATTAAAATCACAATGGATTTTTTTTTAAAGGTATGAACATACAAGAACTAAGAAAGAGAAAGGAGAGGAGACCAAAACGCTCATGAGAATTCATCAACTTTTTATAAACTTTAAGAGACGGAGGAGCGATAATTGGCCAGGGGAGCAGAGGCACGGCCTGCGTACCGTGGAGGACACCAAATGGAGGTGAGCTAGTTTGGGCTACAGACCTCAGGAAGGAGAAAGCTTTCAGAACACAAGGAGCTGTGTTGGCAGAGAAGGTGGTGGGGCTGAAAACAGAGGATCAGAAAACAACATGTCACTGGATACTCCTCTAACACACATGTTCTCACACACATGTACATGTGTGCCTTTATCCAGATTGCTGCGCCTCCCGCCTCTCCTATTCTTGGGAGAAGCTCAATGACCCTGGAGAAAAAGATTTATAAAATACTGAAATGTGGATGCTACTCTCATGAAAAGCCCAGGTCACCAAATAAAAGGCCATGCTCCTGTACAAAAGAGCTTCTGAGTGGTCTCAAACAGATAGGCAATGACCACAGATATGTGGGGAAAACCTCCAAAATGAAAATAAAAGCATAGAAAATCAAACATAAAAAAGAACCTGGGAGAAACAACACAATGCATGGAGCAGAATGCAATTTAAAAGCAAAACTAAGATTCATGTCCTTATAGTAAAAAGAGAAATGTAGCAGCCATAAAACAAAACAGAAAATTGTAACACATGAGCAGCAGAGAGCACAGAATAGTTTTGAATTAAAAAATTAGGATAACTGAGATAAAACATTGAATAGAAAAAACACTGAATAGATAACTGAGATAAAACATTAGAAGATAGTCATCTCTGAAGATAAGGACATCTTCCATAAAAACAAACCAACTAAAAGAGTAAGTAGCTTGAATACAAGAAAGATTAGAATTAAATTAGGATCTGTCAGAAGATGTAACTTTACCACTTCACACCAGTCAGAATGACCATCAGAAAAAAATCAACAAACAAATGCTGTTGAGGTTGTAGAGAAAAGGGAACCCTAGTGCACTGTTGGTAGGAATGCAGACTGGTGCAGCCACTGTGGAAAACAGTGTGGAATTTCCTCAAAAAGCTAAAAATGGAACTGCCTTTTAACCCAGCAATATTTTCACTGCTGAGATTATACCCTAAGAATCCCAAAACACCAATTCAAAAGAACCTATGCACCCCAATGTTCATAGCAGCACAATTCCCAATAGCCAAGTGGTGGAAGCAACCTTAAGTGCCCATCAATAAATGAGTGGATCAAAAAACTATGATACATTTACACAACAGAATATTATGCACCAGAAAGAAAGAAGGAGCTCCTTCCCTTTGAGACAGCACGGATGGAACTGGAGAGCATTACTTTAAGTGAAATAAGCCAAGGGGTGAAAGACAAATACCATATTGTCTCACCTATAAGTGGAACCTAATCAACAAAACAAACAAAAAAAGAAGATGTAACTTCCAGGTTTCAAAAAAAAAAATGGAGAAGAGAAAAATCGTCAGAGAAATAATACAAGAAAAGTTTACAGACCTTTCAGACATGAATTTCCATAATGAAAGGGCCCTCCAGTGCCTAGCACAATAAATGAAACAATGCCCGCACCAATGCTCACTACTGCCAAGTTTTCAAACACCGGGGATACACAGAAGATTATAAAAGTTTTCAGAGGAAGAAAAAGGTCACATAGAAAAGAAATAATGATCAGAATGTATAACTGGAGATTGGGAAGGGTAAGACACAGGACTTCGGTATTATTGAACTTCCAAAACTACGCACAAGTATTTTTCATAATTAAGCAATAATAACGTAAGTGAATAGATCCATAAGTAACTAAATGAAATAAAAAATAAAGTGATTGAGTGCTCAGTACATGACAGGGTATCATTCTTTTTAAAAAATATATTATCTCATTTAACTCTCATAACTCTGCAAGGAAGACACTATCAACCTCCTATTACAGGTGAGGAAACGGGCATTGAGAGGTTAGGTAACGGTACACCGGCTAAGTGGTGGAGCCAGAGTCCTGGCTTTCTGAGTGTGGTCTTTTAAAACTGCATAGGGCTGTCTCTCAACTTTAAAAGTAAAATGAGTTTTTAAAAAGAAGAAAATAAAACACTATTTGGTTGTTTCCTATGTTCCTACTCTGTTCCCAAATCAACTGTGGTTGATTAAAAGTCCTGTCTTGGTCAATCAGGACACAAGGGGGGCGGGGCGTGCGCGCGCGCGCACGCGCGCTGAGGGATGAAGGTTGAAGGTGTTTGCTAGTATTTTAAGTGCTCACTGCATACAAGTACCTTATGTGACGTGTTGCCAGAAGTTCCACAAGTGGATTCCCTGACCTAAATGCATCAACAACCACAACCCAAAGAAATGACGCACCTCTAGCATCAGATCACCCCTGCCCATCCGGGCAAAGAATAAAGGTAAAAACAGAATCGTTGCCTCTTTTCTAAATTATTGCCCTCTAAACCATCCACGCTCTTCTAGTCTTGCAAGGAAAATATCCCTAGACGGTTTTCCTAGTTATTTACATGACTTGTTACCTATATTGCTGTAACAATAGCATCGTGCCTCTGCTCTCTCTTGCCTTCCACTCTTCTTTACCTTACGTTAAGTACAGCATGATTCTTGAACATTTGCATTTGGAGTTCCTCCGGAGGAGCCAGCCTCATTCAGTTTCCTACTTGTGCTGTCCTATCCTTCTCCTCACTTGTCCCTTACTTAAGAGAGTCTACCTTTGGGGGTGGGTGGGATATCATCTTTTCGAACAGTATTTTTTTTCTTTTCTTTTCTAATCTGGCGACTTCTTCGTTCTTTCTGACCTGTAATACTACGGAGGCTACACAGCTTTGGCATTCGGTTCTTTACGACTAATAAACCTCTATACAATGGCGTCTTTTGGGACCTGACACCACTGCCCTGCACTGGACCGCCCGGCTCATATGCTGCTGCCCGGCTCAGCCCGGGAGTTCCTTCCTGCCCCAGAGGCAACCCTCCACTTTCTGCCTGTCATGCCCTTGACCTCTTCCTCGGGGTCTGTTTTGCCTTGTCCTGGTGGGGGTTTCCGTTGATAGGTAATGGCTGCAGCAGCCTTTAAGGTTCTCAAACAGCAATGAGAGCATTGTCCCTGTCTTCCCAACATCGGGGTGGGCGCGCGCGCGCGCACACGCACACACACACGCACACACACACACGACACGCACGGGGGCTGCCTGGCCTAGGTCTCGGTCTTGGTCACAGAAGGTCCCTGCCCACGGCCGCAGGGCTGACACTGCGACAGCCTCCAGTGTCACGGTGGCCCACGGCCTCAAGTCGCGCCCTGCGCGGCTGTCACACCGTCCCTCCGCGCACTCAGGTGGCCCAAACACCTGGCGGCCCTACCCTCGGACGTCACCGGCGCACCGGGCCGGCGCGCGCGCGCGCGCGCGCACGCGCACCTACCGTCTCCTTGGCAGCGGCGACCGGGATGGGAAGCAGCCCCAGTCCGCGGGGCGCGTCCTCCAGCTCTGCGTCCGCGCTCTCGGAGGGGCGCCCAGGGGTCGGCGCCCGCGTGGGGTCGGGCCTGGGGTCCCCGTACAGCTGGTAGCACACGAGGCCCACCAGACCCCCGCCGGCCGCCGCCGCGATGCTCAGCTCCCCCCAGCGCCGCCGCCGCCTCCACGCCGCCTCAGCCACAGCCCCCTCCTCCTCCTCCCGGCAGGAGAAGGGCCGGCCAGGAGGGCCCGGGGCTGTCCCCACAGGCCGCCCCCAGGGCCCGGGCAAGGGATGATGAGGGGAGGGTGTAGGCGGGAGTCGAGGCGGTGGCCAGAAGAGCCTCCTCAGTGCAGCCATAGCGGGAGCTGCCTGCACCAGAACCCGGAGGGGGCGGGCGGGGGGTGGGGGTGGGGAAACCTCGCGAGAAGTCGGCGCGCGGAGGTTCGCTGCTGTGCGAGGGCGACCCTTAATGAACGCGTGGCGTGGGGACCCCGGGGGCAGCTGTAAGCTGGGGGAGTCCGGGGTCTCTGGCCACCGAGAACCTGGAAGAGAAAGCGGCTGCTCCTTCGCCCCGCACTCCCAGTCCCACCCCGCAGACAGAAATAACTGCGCCCGCCCGTTGCGACACCTGACCGCGAGCGCCGAGCCCCGGGCTGCGGGGGTGTCGAGCGCCCCTCCGCTAACGGGGCCTTCGCCGCACCTGCACGGGGTGGGCCTTGGGCCCCTCTGAGAAAGTCAGATGCCCGAACGGTCTTCCTGATCTTCGGACGCAAGGTCGCGAATAATTTGCAATCGTACCTTGGGAAGTCCAACAAAAATGAGATGTAAAAAGTTGGCTCAAGTCATAAAAATGGCAAATTAAGGCGAAGGGTGCTTTGACTACACGACGAAAGCTTCTGGACTTTTGATGGAGGAATGCGAATGCCCTTTTTTAGTTACCGTTAATATTAAAAAAAAAAATATCATACCTGTGGTCACTTAATTCAACCAATCAGAACTTTGAAAGTTACCCTTAATTGTGGAAGGAAGCTGTTGCTTTCAATATAAAATGAATTGATTTGTATTTTGTTATTACGATATTTGTTTGTTTCACGGTCAGTATCACTTTTAGGAGAAAGTATACATGACATTCCTACCGCTTCTCCTCCCACCCCAGTCTTGGTAACAGTTAAGCCAGCTTTGGGGAATGGTGCCTGGAGCCCCCAAAATATTCTGGGTCTAGGGGTGTAGGCAGCTAAACCCAGGAGTCTCAACGGCGCTACGGTCCCCAGGGGATGAAGTCAGTGGGATCTGGCCGTTGTTATGGAGACCAAGGGTTTGCAGGGGCGCAGAGAATGAGGTTTTAGGTCAAACTGCTCTTCCCACTCCTCATTGACCATTTGCCTCTAGTAATCTATCGGATACGCCTTAGTCACTTCTTGTTTTAACAGAGGTTCATGGAATTTTTCTTAAAGACACTGAAAAAGATACACAGAAAAATCTCCTATAACATATGAAGAAAATGTGTCTATTTTAGGAAGCCACCCCTATTTCTTTCACTTTCAGCCTTTTGGTTTTATACAACTTATGCTATAAGAAAAAGTCAGTGGTGTCTCCTGGCGTTATCACCAAAATTCCTTTAATTTCTGCCTTCTCTGAATTCTGGAAGCTTTCAGTATCCAAAGAAGCATCATTGATTCTCTGGATATATAACACAGCTCTTCTGGCATTGTTTACTTTGAACTGAGCACAATTTTCTGGACTTTCTCATAAATGTCCTACAAGGCCTAATGGTAGAATTCTTAGACTAGTGAGTTTTAGTTGGTTAGATATTAAAAGCTGAGTAGCTCTAAAGAGAATTAGGGAGGCAATACAATAACATCATATTGCACATAAGGGGAATATCACAAACTTTCCATTAAGATGACTTTATGTGTATATGATTTCTAGTTTCAATAAATTTAATACAGCTACTGAAACTCATTTTTCTGTCTAGAAACCCAGGTGCAGCTGTGAGAGATGCAGGGATTAAGTTTGTCGAGTACTCAGCTCCATGGGCAAAAGTTGTTCCAGTTATAACTTTCCACAGTGTATTTCCTCTAAAAATCAAGTTTCTTTAAGAATAGCTATTGTTTTCTTTTTACATTTGATGCTCTGTAACTATAACTACAGATTTCTTTATTACCTGTATATTTTTCTGAGTTTAATTCTCAGGGGGAAAAATTATAAGGGAACATGATAGGAATTTGGAAACTTCTGAAATTATGGATAATATTGTTAGGTCAATGTAGATTTAGCCCAATTTCCTTCATCTTTTATGTCAATTCTACTGAGCATTAATAATATCCCCAAAATGTCCCTACTAAACAGTAAGAGTCCACATCTTCAAAAAAATACTCACTTTTATTCACTATGGGCTAAGTAAAAAGAAACGCTCTGAAACATTTAAAAATGTTTATAACAGCAGGGATTAAGCCAAAGAGAGTTTTTCAGGAAAGTATGTCTACCAATGGACAGAGTGATAAACTAGATGAAAAAATCTGGACTCTTGGTTTTACTACATTGTGACTGTATAAACTGATAATGTTTTGGAGGCCACAATTTCCTATGAAGTAATCGAATTGAATAGGTGATCACCTCCTGAATCCATGGTCCTAATGAGCCAGAATACGCCAAGCATATCAGTAAACCTGTACAGAGACTTCATAGCATTTCTCACACGTCATTTCCCTTCTCAAGACCTATAACTGCTTTATTCTTTCCAATTAAAATCACATCCTGTGACCTAATATTTTAACCTCTAAACCTCCTTAAGTTACAAATACATGAGTGACTTATACATTTTGAAAATGTGAAATGCAGGTGTGATATGTGTCATGCCTAGGCAGAAATGTATTGTTAAAACCCCCAACAGAACTTCTATTAAAGCATACTTCTCACCTTATTTCACTTCCAAGCCCCAGTATCTGGACTAGATGAAAGATAAGCAGTTATCTGTGAGACCCTATGTCAGGGACACATGGGGGCCCCCAGCCCAGGTCCACGTAATTCTGACAGAGCGAGGCTACCAGCCAGAGAGCAAGGCTGTAGCAAGCCCCTTCTTTCTTGAGGCAGTTGTCATAAACACTGTCCTCATTTTCAGTGTTGTATTCCTTGGGGAACAATTGGCAAAGTCAAAGGAGAAAGTGGTGGGGAAAGTGTATTCTGTGCAGTTACTGGCTTTTCTTGATCTCTTCTCTTTAGAGTATTAGACACTCTAAGTTGGGAGTTCAATTCCCAGAACCCAGAGCTGTGGAAACCAATGTACTCAAGGCACTGACGGCCTGTTTTCCATATTGACTGTCTCCCACTCCCAAAGACAGATTGACAGTGGTTTGCCTCCTGCCCTCCTCCCTCAATCAAAACTTAGCTGTGTCTAAGCTCCAAGAAGTCAGAGTTACTTAGTATTTAGCCCAACTCCTGACACATAGTAAACCTCAATCAATGTTTATTAAATGAAGACAGGAATTTATTATTATTGTGGGGGTCAACATAGAAATGGCCAATCAGGAGATAAACAAACATGAAATAGCTCATCAGACTTTCTCCTGTGAAAGGTCCATATGGTTATCACCACTGAAAGAGGTGATAAACCCAGCAGCACGCCTGGAAATGCAGTTAGTGCCCACAGAAGGCCAGAAAGAGGAAGCGAGATTTGGGCAAGGAAAGGTTACAGAGCGTGTGGTCATGGAGAACGGTTGATTCAGGAACACATTCATGATTCTGTTATTTGAAACCAATCTTGCACATATTATAATTTTCCATGATCCGGCTGGACTTAGAGCCTTAAAGCAACAGGCTTCCACCAGGCTCTCACGCTCCTCGGAGGACGTCCAGCATGATCCATGGCCAAAGGGGAGAGACTCGACCTTGGCAGCTCCTGTTCTGCTCTTGCAGGCTTCACTGGTCACAACAAGCAAGTTGGCGGTTGTGCGCATTCATTTATCTGACTTCGAGGCCAGTAACACTCTTTCTGACAATTACATCAGACTTAGATAATTTCCAGTTTTAGGTACTGGGCCTTTACTGACAGTGTCTCACTGTTTAATTCTTATTGATGTCTTCGCCCTCCATTTAGTGGCAAGAACTTCTTATCTATTTGGGAAACAAGGAATAGCAGCTCAGACTTGCTACTAGCAAATTTTCCTGTTTAAAAATAACTGAGCCCTTTCTCAATGGTCATATCCTTTTTTTTTTTTTCATGCCTGAAAATGATTCAAGCATCTAGGCCCATTAGAAGCTGTTTTCTGGTGGGGAATAGCCTCGGAGTAATATAGTAATCATCTGTCATGCAAGAATGACACTAGAGTAGCAAAACAAATATCTATCTAAAAATGTAACTGCGGGAGTTTAACATAAGCATTCCCTATGACCCATCAATTTCACTCCTAGGTGAAATACTCATCAAAAATGATTGCTTTATACCCATCAAAAGACATAGACACATTTGTAATTGGCCCCAAACTAGAAAGTATTCACTTGCGCATCTATAGTGGTCTGGATTACTTTTTTTAGCATGTGGTACATTTATATAGGTGAACACTACATAGCAATGAAAATCACTGAAGCGCAGCTACATGTAATCATGCGGATAAGCATCACAAGCAGAAAGTTGAGTCAAAGAAGACAAACACAAAAGAACCAATTATATCATTCTATTTATAATATCAAAGCCACATACGTATTTATGTTTTTATTCAGAAATATAGTGGTTTCCTTGGGTAGAGGGTGACTAAAAATGGGAAAAAAGGGGATCCTGGAGTTCTGTTCATGTTTTGTTTCTTGATCTGGCAGCCAATTAAATACGTGTATTCATTCTGGGGAAAGTCACAGAGCTGTCCACTGACTATTAGTGTACCCTTTTAATGTATGTTATTCTTCAATAAAGAGCTTATATAAAATAAAAAAATAGGGTTTTTTTCCCTAATGCTCATATACTAATATGTTACTCACTGGAGAACTTGCTCAATTGTGAACTGCGTAAGTTAGGAGGAATGCACAGAATTTGTGAAGAGTTGAGATAAGAGCAAAAAACTTGAAGATTTGGAGACTCGTGGAAAAGGTAGAGAATCCTGATATAACCTAAAGAGATTTAATCAAGGAGCACCTTAACAAAAGTCTTTTGGTGCCTGAACACCCTTAAGAGGATGCTCATGAGCTATTTTCCTAATTTACTAAGGAAAAACCAAAAAGAACTTGGTATTTTAAGCAACAACCTAGTGTGTTACCTTCTTTGACTTTTAGTACTTTCTCCTGTGAAATGTCCATATGGATAGACCCAGTAGGTATCTGGTAGTAAGGCCTAATGAACCAGTATATACCCTTTTCTCTGGCTGTAACCCCAGATTGTCA